TTCATACATGTTCTGATTGGTCTCATTACTGCAACTTCGACCTTGATTATCTAGAAATTTTGATATATGAAATAAAAAATTAAAATACACGTATTCATTAGAATTTGAAAAGGAATGTAACAGTGTTATTACAATGCGTTTCATAAAGAACACCCTGTATATATGACACATATATATATATATATACATATATGCATATATATATAATAAAAATTAATATATATATATATATACTGTAAAAACACCAGACAGGAGTGACTTCACGGCTACCAGTCGAATGAAGGTTGAAAGGCTATACGCTAGGGGCGCATGGGTGAAAGATGCTGGAGAAACAGAGAGGGACGAAAAAAAGATCCGAAATATCCGCGTGACATTAACGATAGAATGGAAAGTAAATAAAATGAAATAAAATGATAACTAGAACGTCGAATCTTCGTTTCATGCTCGTTGACCTAGAGGCACGTTCGCTAAGGGTACATTCTTAGACGTTTAAGGATAATTAACGATATATGGATATACATACGGATAGATATAAATATCTATACATATAATTATATTGTAAGGTACATCTACATATATAATATATATATATATATACACATACATATATATATTATTGACATAAATATATGATATATTTTTGGCGGTACAAGTAAGAAAACGCACGACACTCGTATTTAAAAAAAAAAGTAAAATGAAAAAAAGATAATATATTGTCTGTGACTTTTCGATATAAATAAGCGCGCGCGTCAATGACGAGAAATGATGCTGTTTGAGAGAAAATGGGGATATGAAAAAAAAAAAAAATGAAAAAAAATTTCAAGATAAGAAACGAAGAGGTGCATTGATAAACGGTCAGGGTCGGCGGGCCCTTTGCAAAATTAATTTCGACAAGAGTTCTGATACATATATACGTACATACTACATTGCATGGTACCTAAGTGTCTGTCTGTTTATCTGTCTGTCTGTTTGTCTGTCTGTCTGTCTGTTCGTAGGATTAAGGGTTAAGCCAAAAAAAAAGAAGAACAAAAAACAAGAGACAAATGTTCAATAATAACGAAAGCTCTTTTCGAACTTCTTGTTCCGTCAACGGCGGGAGGAGGTAATTAATAAATAAATGACAGGAAAGAGGGGCAGGAAAATGAGGTTATGGAAACAAAAAGAAATACGACGCATCAGTCTCATTAACGCTGATAATTAAGGTTAGAAGTTTCTTTTTTCTAATTTAAGAGAAAAAATAATGAAAATAAGAGAAAAAATAAGATACTCAGTTCTCTGCAGTATTTTGTGATTGACCTGTGCCACTTCTGTCGCGAGAACTTCTCTCGATTAATCGTGACGATCATGGGAGAGCGAATTATTAAAAAAATAAATAAATAAATAAAAGGATAAATAGAAAATCAGGAAAAGGCGTGAACGCGATTGGTAAAGCTAGTGATCAGAATAAACATAGCAATATGAGAATATTTGAGCATTGAGCCAGTTTGTTGTCGCCGTAAGGATCAATAAGGAGAAGAAAGAAAAAAGATTTGGAAGCTTGACGAGAAAGAGAGAGTGAAAGCTGATAAGAAGATTTAAAAGGTGATTAAAATTGAGATTTTATCAGGAGTCTCTAGTCCTTCCGTATAAAGTTTTTTTCCGACAATTATACTCTGGATATATCATCATATCACGATAGCGGGATTCACTCGTTTTATTTAGCGGATCCATTTTGCAAAAAAGATAAAAGTAAAAATAATTACGAGAGAGAAAGGCGCGCGTGCACGTTGAGAATTTCGCGAAGCATCCTTCCATTTTATGAAAAAAAAAGAAATAAAAATTACCAAATAAAGCATCGTTCAAGCTTTACGAAAGACCAGAGCGATGCGATATAATTGTTTTCTATTATATTTGTCATGGCGTCACGTTCCTCCAGCTGATCGCAGAAATTCGAAAACTTGCCTATCGATAAATCGCGAAATAAAGGAATATAGGCTGTCATAATATAACACTTTAGACGTATAAGTTATCCGTACATTTAGAAATTTAAAAAACGGACGTATAATAAACCGTACGGTTAAGATTAGTTATGAAGTGAGCTGCGCATGGGCAACGGCGTACGCGCATGCGCAGATTTACCCAGCTCAGCAGGCGCGACGCCATCTTGACAATTCCCAATCAAACGACAAACGTCGCTCGACGAATGCAGCGGTGCGGTTTTCATAGCGAGCGTCTCGCGACGATATTAGTGAGAAATCGTACAGGAATATAAGTGAGGTTATTGTGTCGTCAGAAGTTTCACGTGGAAGGGATAAACTAGAGGTAAAGGGATGAATAAGAATGTGAAAGCGATAGCATGAGACGGCGGTAGGAGTTTGTGAGGAACGAGATGGGGAAGGAAGAAAAACAAAAAAAAACATCAATTAGACTACGCATAGTGCCTAAGAAAACGCTTTTTAACCGTGTTCTCGAGCTAGTGGCTTTCCTTTTTATTACGAGATACACAAATTCGTCGCCTTTTTCGAGCGGACTTTACAAGCGCTGTTCTCCGTAGCCGTGTCGGGCTCACTCGCGCAAATAAACCAAATATATGTACATCTCTTGTTTACATGAAAGACTTCCAACGAATTGGTGGCGTACGACATCGTGACGCCGCCTTGAATATTCGGATTTTTGACAATGGATATACGATACGATCCTTCGTCTCGATGTTATTTTGTTTTCTCTTTTTCTTCCGGGATAACTTGGTGAGTCTTTGTCGGTGAATATGAGTTTGAATAAAGATTTTTGGGGCGGGGACATGAAAAAAAAAAACGTATAAAATTACAACAAAATATTAATCATCCCGCGCAATCACACGACTATAATTACGCGCTGACGCGAGCAATCTTTCGATCCTCTTGATTTTGCAAGGGACTCATACGTTTCTATGGGATAATTTCTTAAATTGAATTCTCAGCCCCTAACTAGATCAGATAAGAATATATATATAGTTATACGTATACATTATTATAATATACTTGCGCGTACATTTGGAAATAAGCACAAAAGCCGAATCGCGGGTTCGAGAACGGTTCACATAGTTTGTTTATCTTGTTTGATAGATTTTCTTTCCTTTTATCTTTAATTTTCTTCTCGAAAATTCCAGAGTCACGAGACGAACGAGACGCGCGTGGTCGATACATACATACAATTGATATCAAAGTATATTCTGTGAACACGTATATATTACATAGACATAATATATATGTATATATATACATTGTAATGGTACGTTAAGGTAAACTTGACATGCGTATCGTACACGTACGATAGACACGTTAATGTACGGACGACATGTTTCTCGTTAATTTTGATCTTTCTTTTAAATAGCGTAAGTCAAATCGAATCCGCGTTTTAGCCGGACGGGCCCAAGAGAACGACGAATAACGTGGTTGAAAATTCCGTGTACATCGAGGCGGTTCAATGTACACTGAATTTTAGGTCTGGTTACTTGAGAAATTCAAGGCCACTTGCGAGACTTGATTGCGTAAAAAGGCACATTTTCATGATATCGAGAGCAGCTACCTGAACTTTAGCGCGAAATGACGAGAAACGTGTGCGCGTTTAAACCGGTATGTGCTGCGAGTAATAAATACTGAGAAAATAAAAGAAAAAAAAAACGTGAAGCATCGACGAACCTTTAATGGAACCACGAAACATAGATATAGCAGCCGCGATGACCGCCGCTTTTGTCAAACGATAATTCCGAGTGCAGAGTAAACGACGCACAATAACTTTGAGCATAAATCAATAAGATTGTTAAAGAAATCGGCAAAGCGATCGACGCAACGCACACAGGCGGGCTAATGGATAAATGTTGAATGGACTAAAAAGCCAGATTTGAATTCCGTACGTGATTTTTGCTCGCGACTTTTCGTCGGGTGGCGGTCATCGCGACGAACCTTTTTTTTCTCCTTCATCATAACACATACAATGCATCTAGAATCTCGTGTTTAGTAATTAATAAATCAATTGACTCGCGAGATACCACTGACGAATTAAAATGATCGTGGGAAGAGCGTGTATATGAGGGAAATGTGAGACGAATTCACACGAAGGGATAATAGAGTGGAAAAGAAGTCTAGGCCTGTCGACGTCCTCGATACGGTCTTGGCCATTGTTATGTCGGCGTCGTTACGTGGATTGTTGTAGTTGATATTATTACTGTTAACTTCTATCGTAAGTTCCGCTTGAGGAATCTGAATCTCGTGCACGCTCAAGCGCCTGTACGAACATACGTTCACGTAAAATAGCAACGGAAGGGCGCCAAAGTGGAATTGGATGATTCGAATTTTTGTCCGCGCTACCTATGAATTCCGTTGTCACGTGAGCCAGGCGAGCGCTAGCGTCGCCAGTACGGCACGTTCGGTAACAATCATTAAAGATTTTAAGGCGGTGACTCGGCGTTCGGACTTAATACGATGAATTTGATGAAAACAAGAGGTTAATCGGATAAGGGAGGCATTAATGATCGCATACTATAATGGGAGAAGTGAGTGATTACAGACAGGATAATCGTAACGCCGTTATAATATAGACAAGTTTACGATCAATCCCGGAATCGTGACATCACTAACGTATCACAAGATGGCGGCCGTTAAGACTTTTCAAGCATTTTTGTCGGGCATTTTTCTTGATGATCGGGATGCTCGTTGTCGGTCGAGCTCGTCGCGACGCCATGAAGTTCCAGATTGTCGCGTACTACGGCTGTAAGGTTAAAACCGACAATTGCATTTTTTGGTGGAAATGGGTGATCTTCTTTTTAATGGGGTTTCTCTAATTAATATCAGCTCGTTTCAGCATATTTACTTGATGGCTTTGTGGTTTTGGGAGGTAGGTGGGACGAATACATTTTCTAGGACGTTAGTGGACCACACAGCATGAACACAATACATACCTTAACAATAAATAAATAATGTATTGGGAGATATCGAGAAACGTTGCGTTATTGGTAAATTTAAAAAAAGACATGGCGGCAATTTTTGAACGCGGATACCTTTATTGTCAGGCTATGTGTTGGTCGATGACGGGAGCACAGATGATGAGGATTGTTTTGATGATCGGGAGGGAGATGGATGGGAGTAATGTTTTAATCTAAAAGGTACCCATACAAAAATGATAACTAACATTAGGGACAGTTAAGTGGAACGATGGAAGTACAGAGGTAAAGAAACAATATGGAAACGATAATATTATAAGCAACAAGAAGTGCTTTTACGAAATACAATATTATTTATACCATCCTGACGATATGTATTACATTATATATGATAAGGAATAAGATATGATAATGATTGTGTATTATGTAACACAAGGTCTAGATAAGCATATTAATAATATAAATATATATTATATATTATGACTTATTATTATTACTATTATTATTAATATTATAACGATTAATAGCATTATATTATGACTAGTAAAAGCATTAATTAATAAAGGTTGTCCTATATGTGAATGAAAACATTTATTAACGCTGCCTACCCTTCCTAGGTTTTCTTGTTTCAATTTTTAACATGACCGTCGTGTTAGATAAGGTATTTCGAGCGTAAGACTTTAGAGATTAATAATTCTTTTTGCTATATAACATTTTAATTGTGCACCATCGTGTTAAAAAATCGTAGGCTCGGTCGCGAGCCTTTCAATGTTTAATTGTCAATTTTTATAAAATTAAATATTTAGTATAGAGCTACATGAAGAAAACTCCAGTCCGTTTTCAATTTCAGATTTCTCATATTGATCATATCTTGAGATCTGAAAAATACAATATGCAATTGACTCAGGGAATTTCAGTGACTAGTTATCGCGCTTAAAAAAGTGGAAGTAACAGTTATTTATAGGTCATGTAAAAGGTAGCGATTTATATAATTCTTACATCTCTGAATATGAAATTTTAGCATTGTCGATTGTTACATTGTAAAAATCTCGGGTTTTTAAATGCTTGTAATTCCGTGATTGGTGGAGGTACCAATTTTCCTTGAAATTTGTTAAGGAAATCTCTTAAACAGAGGACAGAATGTTCTCTAAATAATTCAATGTTAGGGCTTATAGCTAATTGTTATAGTTAAGTATGTGATTGACGAGTACGTATAAAGTGAAGCACTCGCGATAAAGTAACACGTCAGTGCCGTAGACTCTGTCTGAGAGTACCCAGGCCTTAACAGTTGCTGATGAAATCACGAAAGTTTTCAAGGCTACTCCTGTGACAATCGATTCTTGAGACCGACGTCAGTATCTCTTGATAGTGATCGTCCACGTTCCCTGACAAAGTTGGTCTGGCTTTTAGTATGTTGGTAGGAAAACAAGATTTGAGATCGTTCTTAGCGAGTTTTTCCTTGGCGTCATTGGAGATGATGGTTTACATAATTTACGAAAATAATAGTCTTTAGGCTAATGTTTGGTAACTAAAAGGAAAACAATTTTTGGAGTGTTTTCCGATGATTACGATTAGCTGAAAAAGAACGATTAATGCGCTTCTCGATAAAAACGTGAAAATATTGATCATACAAGCTAATCATTCGTGATTTTGTAATGTCAAATTATGTATAGGTATACTGAAAGAAAACTTTTGCTGCACATATTTAACTTTAAAATTGGCGCTATTCAAAGATGGATATCATGACTCACCTGTAGAACGACTAATGCAGTTTCCAGTTATTTTTTATAAATTACAATAACTAAAACTATATAACAGCTGCAGTGCATATCAATATCATTAAACAGAACTGTTATCCTACAGGGAATCTGTAGTTGCAGGTGAAATTAATTAATAGCAGCATTAGACCAAGTTTTTATAAGGTAGAGAGCTGTGCGCGTGGCGATTTCTGCCAGCTATTTCCGGGACTGTGCTTGCCGTACGGTGACGTTTGCGTTTGCTCCAAAAGTGAGTCAGAAGTATATTCTAAATAGTGCAAAATAAAAGGTTCATATGCGTATCGCCATTATAAATTTGGTAATAACGTGTCCTTAGTGTCTCTAGAGATTAAAGGAGTACGCAACACGAGTTTTATTTGCGGGTTGCCTGTGGGAGGGACCCGGACGCTCCAGGTATAAACTTTGAGGTTCGGTGCGTATTATCTTGAAAAGAAGACACCATGGGCCTAACCATCAGCAGTCTGCTCACTCGCCTTTTTGGCAAAAAGCAAATGAGAATCCTAATGTTGGGACTCGACGCAGCTGGAAAAACTACCATCCTGTACAAGTTGAAATTGGGTGAAATCGTTACTACAATACCAACCATTGGATTCAACGTTGAAACTGTTGAATACAAAAACATCTGCTTCACTGTGTGGGATGTCGGTGGCCAAGATAAAATTCGACCACTCTGGAGGCACTACTTTCAAAATACCCAAGGACTCATCTACGTTGTGGACAGCAATGACAGGGAGAGAATCGCTGAAGCTGAACGAGAACTTGCCAATATGTTGAAGGAAGATGAACTACGGGATGTTGTACTACTCGTCTTTGCTAACAAACAGGATTTACCAAATGCTATGTCTGCAGCAGAGCTAACTGATAAGTTAGGTTTGAATTCTTTGAGAGGTATTCATTGGTATATTCAAAGTACTTGTGCGACCCAAGGACATGGCCTCTATGAGGGTCTCGATTGGCTAAGCAACGAACTTGCTAAAAAGTGATAACTTTAATTTTGAATATGCATAACAAGATCGTCGATTCATTTGTCAGGCATGGACGTAACTAAGGAGGATTTGGATCTTGTAGAATTTTATTAATCTACATGACCATGTTAATATCATCTTTGCCTTTCATTCAGGCTGTAACTGTCATAATTGAATTTCATATACAATCAGTTCAAATCATTGTGAATACTTTATACTTTATGAAATACTCTAATTGAGATCATCCGTACTCTATCGAAAGTATAAATAAAATAATGTATTCATCTCTATCACCTAGAGAACTCATGCATCGAAGATACAACTAGGTCTGATTATAAAGATGTCTATGTTATATGAAATCCATGTTATGTTGCATACATGAAAACTCATCTGAATGTGACGCGTTATAAGGCTATAATCCAAAATTTAATTAATAATGTTTGAATTAATATCCTTTTTGCACTTCATCCCTGATTGAACCACATCAATAACTATATATATTTTATTAATAAAAAGTAGCCTGCGCTAATGATGTATCATTCCACTTATCATTTATATTTCTTGGAGAAATAATAAAAAAAACAGGATCTATAATGTATCGATGTATGCTGTAACAATTTTATTTTTTAAATGATACATCTCTGCAATGTTTCCTACTATTCTGAATAATCTCATATACCGAATACATCTATGGGATAAAGTATTTGTACCAATTTTGAAAAATCTCTATATCGATATGCAGAAGCTTGCGTGATTTTTCTCCACGTCCATGCCGTCTTTTTAAGAACGACATATGGTGTAGAATTCGACCTTCATACACGCAGACTGTTTGTACTATGATTAAAAAAATGAAATGTAAGAATAGTTTAATATTAACACATAAGGTTTGAAGAGGAATATTTGAAAAATTTTAATTGAATTCGCACGGATTCCATTCGGGATCCATGCATTCATTTATAATGAAGATAACGGTTAGTATTTTAAGAGTGCAAGCCTCTAAGCCGATGAGAAAATAAATAAAGTATATTATACCAAATGATTAGCTCAATTATTCTTATTACAATTTGTTTTCAACATCCTACCTAAATACTTACAACTATAACAAAAACCTTCAATGGCCACTTTAAATATTATGTATTTCTTAATATCTTTCTAAATATTCAAAAGTATTGACTTATAATTTTACTCCAAGAGTAATTATATTCAATGTGTACACGTGGTTAATTGATATCACTAATTTGTAAAACGGCGCTAAATTAACGTGACACAATTAGATCCTTACGTATAACTTTATTATTGTACAAAACAGCACTTTCGTCGTACAACAAGAGTTTCTCTAAAATGTATTAAACGATTTCTGTTAACATTTGGTGTTATCTGTTTGCGTTGTTCGATATTACAGAGCTCTTCTACATCCACAAACGGCCACAAAATAATTACACGAGAAATCTTAATTACAATTCTAGATACTTATGTACATTACGCCACGGCGTTTACGTATTTCACGTAAATTACAAAGTATTCGCGTAAAACATCGTTATTCGCGAACGCCTACCACTTGGTTCGTGAATTGTCATGCGCTTAATTTCTCGACGGTCTCGGAACACGTATGTATTAAATGATAAAATAAAAAGTAAACATATATATCTTACAGATTACGTTCGAATTGATCTGTCAGAACATTAACCAATGTATATAGTTTTCATTATTTTTGTAAATTGTAAAACTTAAAGAGACACCCTGCATATCTTCATCCATATTTAGCCAGTAACTTTCTCTATGAAATTGTATTTAAACTTTTTTTTCACAGTAGTATCGTTATCTGATAAGCATAGAGCGGCTCTAATTCAGATAATCTAGGCGGAGTTTGTCAACAGGTTGATAACGTTAGAAGATTTTTGATATTATCCTTAATGCGATTGATCGAAAGGGTAAAAAAGGTTTAGTTGACTTTTCATGGTTTTTAGGAAAAATTATAGTCTTCCAAAACCGCGAGAAAAATGGCATAAACATTAAATTGTTGGTATCGTTAAGCGACTGTTACACGCTGCTACAATTTTAGTCACGCTTCATTATTAAACTCTATTACCCTGGTATCACTGTCATCTCGCAGACTCATTAATGTAGTTCACGCGTAACATCAGCTTAATGATAATCCATTGTTTTCATCTACCTATAATATATATTCCTCGGTATTTTATTGGCTGCGTTCACTTTTTCACCCAGGCATTATTCTGTACCGGTGCAGCTTTACCTAAGACAGGAAAATGATTTTCCAGAGTGTGACTGCTTAGATGAGCTCTGAGATCCGAACCATTTTTTAGTACTTGACCACAGGTCGCACACATTTCTAAACCTTTGACCTTGCCCGCACCTTCCTTTTTATGGACTTTGAAGAGTTCCTGCTGCTTATCAATGTCTGGTAGAAGCACAAGTAATTCTGAAAATACGCTGCCAAAAGCTGATAAACCCATAGCATCTCGACAGTGGTTGTAATAATCCTCTGCGCTGCAGGTTCCTTGTCGAAATAATCCACTCAGGTACCGGAACTCGTCTATTTGTTCTTGTTGGCCCAGAACTTCCGTTACTTTAGCCACGAGATTTTTGTTCCGTTTTGGAAAATCAGGTGGCGGTACGTAACTATATACATTTTCCTCCTCTTTTTCGCTATTTGGCAGAATAGAATAACTCTCCCCGGAACTATTAGTAAACGTTAAACCGTTATTGGTCTCCGGTTGTTGCACGCTATTGAGCTTGACGTAGAAGCCGGGTGGAGGTAGTGGCGCTGATGTGAATCCTGGCGGTGGATTCGTAAATCCTGGTGGTCTGCTTGTATTTGTTCCTAACGCTGGAAAGTCCTCCGGTTTATTAATATTGTTAATTGTCGAGTTCAAACTGTCTATTTTCAATTCTGAGCGCTTCCTTTGGACACCATTAGAACTGGTACTGGTAGAACCGGAAATATTACTTGAAGAATTCGTGGCGGATGGCGTAGTATCTTCATTTGTATTATTCTTGTTCTTCTTCTTGTCCTTTTTCGTTTGCTCCTCGTCCTTCTTTGTTGTCTCTGTAGTTTTGCCGAATCTCACAGAATTTTCTTGGCAGTCCGTTGAAGTCGATGGGGTATTTCTGGTTTTATTATTTGTATTATCGTTCTTCGATGACGTCTTCGTCTTTTTCGAGGTATCGTTGGTCTTCTTTGACGTTTCTTTCTCTGCTGGCATACTGTTTGAATTTGTTTTTGAACCACTGAACTCGTTACCGCTAGAACTATTGCCATTAGAATTTTGTTTAGCTTTTTTCTTTTTCGCTTTGCCTTTCATCACATCATTCGTGGTTTTTGCTTCTGAGTTATCTGAACACTGTGGCTGAGTCCAGGTAGGTGTAGCAGGCACAACGGATATGGTTGACTGTTTTTTCGACTTCGACGGCTTTAATAAGCTAGGGAAATCTTCTCCTGATTGAATAGGTGGAGGCGAAGGAGCCAGAGGCGGTGAAGCGACTTTCTTTGATTTTGTTGTAGGATTTTGGGCTGGTTTTAAACAGGTCACCTTAGTCCACTGTGCAGTGTTTGTACTCGTAGATGGTTCAGCATGCCCTAATGCAGGAAAGTCCGAGTCCATCGATAAGGTAGATGGTCGAATGCGAATATTAGGACCAGATACTCTCGTCGTCACGGTACCATTAGGTTTGTGATTAACACGGATGGACAAGTTGGAGGATGTACCTTGCTGACGTTGCATCCTACTAGGACCAGGTTTGTTGGAACTAGACACGCTGAGATTAACGGTTTTAGAAATGGTACCAGTACTTGTTGATTCCGGTCCCAGGGCTGGAAAGTTTTCATCGGTTACAGATAATGGTTGAGGCCTCAGGGTGCTGCGGATCGTTACGTTCCCTCGACTCTTCTGTTGAGCAACATTCGGTATGGGCGCACTTGCGTTACCCAGCGTGGGAAACTCCTGGGTACTCTGAACATCTACAGATGGTTGACGAACGAACATCGGCTCTTGTTCTGCAAGGAAATATTCTAAACCTCCTACAGCACCATCTTCCTGATGATAATTTCTGGAACTGTAGTCTCTGCCGGCGTTATAATCTCTACCGCTATTGTAGTCTCTGCCGCTGTTGTAATCTCTAGAGTTCCTGGCACTGTGCGATCCTGGTGGTCTTCTGTGATTTCGATTATCACCACGTGGCGCCAAGGTAAACTCGAACTCTAACGTCCTAGCCTGCTTTGCTGCTGCTTTGCCCAACTGTTTACCATGAGTGCTGGCCTTGTGCGCTTTCAGATCAATATCCGTCCTAAAGACGCTAGTGAACTCCTCGGTTGCACATGAACCTTCCTCGCAGAGGAAGTGCTCTAGCCTAAAATGGTCGCGCAAATAGTCGTACGAACTATAGTACTGATGGAGTCCGTCTGCATCGCAAAAATGGCAGTACAAATGGTCCTTGCGCAAGTGACGAAAGAGCTCATCATTGTCCATGTATCGTTGGTCACAGAATTCGCAGAGAGGATGGCCTTTGTGACTCTTATCATCCAGATCACCTTTCCTACGATGTTGGGCAAGGTCTGACCTGGTATAGCAGCGCCTTTCATGGGAGAAAATCTATAGAAAAAACAAAATTTACGTGAAAGACAATAATGATAAATATTACTTTACCTAGTAATTTTTTGGGTACTGATTATGTTTATACCTTTAAATTTTCTACGCAAAGTTCGCAATAATGTAGCTCGTGCGTTCTTCTCATGTGATCTTTTAGACTGGTAAAATTGCTGAAAACCTGCCTTTCCTTGCACATAGTGCATGTGTGTGCTAACAACATTACAAACTTTTCCTGGAGATCTTCACTGTCAAAATATATATTGTATCGGGCATCCAGCAAGTTTCCTTTTCTAAGATGTCGGAAGGGTTTGATGTTACGTGTAAAGACAACTTTTGGCAAGTCTTGACGACATATTGGGCATTCATTTTGTCGGCATAATACCCTCATGCGTGTACTGCACTCATGGCAGACTGGATGATCACATTTGCCAATACTAAATATTTCAACATTTTTATAGCAAACAACACAAGTGTTGTTTGTACCGGCACCATCATTGGTTTCAGACATTTTCTCTCAGTATTTGAAAATGATAACTCTTTGATTGGCTTTAGTTGTATATCAAATAGCTATCGATATTTTCTTCTTGAATTTTAGTACTTGAAATTTGCATTCATATGCAATTCTTATAAATTTCAAGAGAATCTTCGATACAATAGTTTGTTCGATAAAATTTGATGACTACCTTCCGTGATATTTATTCTGAAACATAACGTAACTGTTAGTACAAAAAAAAGAAATTTCAAAGTTAAGAGTAATACAAGGGTTAGACTATTTGTAAAAGTTTATTATGAAAACTGATCAATATTAATTGATTAAATGATATGTGTTAAATTAAAGTTATGTTTTCTATTACAAAAATAGATAATTTAATATAAAATGTATTAAATGTCATCGAAATACCATAGTAAGCACTGACACAACATAAGTATATATTAATAAATAAAATATGAAACAGAAAGAAACATTATATTATTTCAAAAAAATACAACTCTCTTACAGAATATTATTAATCAAATATTACAATAAGATAGACTAATCTCATGACGGAGTTAATGATTTAATAAGCTATGGAAAATACTGTCAAAAATCAGATAACTTGTCCTTAACAGTACATAGGAAAAGGTTTGTAGGATAACATTTTTAAAGCGAAATAACATTTTTTTGTTAAATGCCTGACATTTTTACAAGTGCTAGCCAAAAATATATGCAGATCTTACAAAATTGGCAACAAACAGCTGGTAAAGTCTGTACGGTGCCATTCAGAAAATAAGGTTATTGCAATGGCTCACTCGAGTAGAAGTTCCCAGCACTTACCGAGTCACTGTTATACGCATTGAATCTCGAATGGACACCCAAAAATGTGCGTATTTCGAAAATCACTCATGGAAATCGTGCCTAAATATTTTCCAATGATGGACAGCAACGTCCGAGTAACCTGTCGCGTAAAAAATAGAGTTAAAATCACTTTACAAAACCGGAAATATGTGTAACAAATGTCTCATGCGGAGTAACATGTTACCAACATTAACACGTTCACCACACTTTAAATTTATATTCCCTAAATGATCGATATATTTATTTCTTCTTAACCATGATTTAATTTCACGATTAACGGTTTTGTCAACTTTGCTTTTTCAAATTTTGTTATTAAATTATAACTGTGTAGTAATGTAATCAAGAAATTTATAACACTAATAAGAATATTGTCCTCAAGAGCCGAAATCATATATGTGTGTAAGAACCACATGGCACAAAAAAATACCAGCGTGTCAGACCACATGTATTGACTTATGGTATAGATATATACAAAAAAATCATTTTCTAACCAAGAAAAATATAAAATAACTGTAAAGAAGTGAGCATTGTCGCAGACGTTGCCGGAAGTTTCGGGATTAGCGTTCTGCTTCCGGTAAAATTCAATGATGAGATTTCCATATAAAACCTACATATGTGAGTACTCATAAGGATGGCGAAATCATGATGACGATACAAGCTGAACGAAGAGGATTATTTGGATTTGGTGTCCGGATGTAAGTACTAGGATCAATTGAAAATATTGAGTACCTATTTCGCATTTAAAGAATGAAATTATGATACTTCAAGAATATCATATGTTATTTGGGTATAAAATAGTAAATTTGCGTGGTCGATCTCCAGTAACGTCAATGGAAACCAAACTCGACAATTAAAAAAACCCATAGCCAAAATATTTTGCTGGAACAGTTTGATTTATTAAAATTGCGTAAAACCCATTTTTCACAATGTAGACAAATGACGTAAAGATTGAGAAACTGTAAATGGCATTGCGCTTTCAAGAATACAATACAATACAATAATTTTACCTGCCGGAATTACTCATACAACCCGGCTAAATATACGAGATAGATGCTTTCGTTAAAGACTGCATGAAAAAATCGATGTGTTTCACAGTTTTTAATTCCGAATCTATTTATTCCTGTTGAAAATTTGTAATAAACGTTTCAAGCGAATATTCTAAAATTGTCCGTTCATCGTAAAGAAATTTTTTTGTTAAAGCCATGTTTTGGGACTTCATAAAATATGTTTTGGCTAAATTTCATTAAATTATGTTAATTAATACAGAATTTATGATGACTTGACTTTAGGCGTGCCCTATGCTTTAAAAAATTACAAGGACACACGAACTTCTGGTCTTCAATCTTTGTTTCTATGACGTCGAGCCCACTGATTACACACTAAATCTCTTCTTCTTGTGGCTTTTCTTCTTCTCATGGCTTTATGCCGTCATAGAGGGCCAAGTGCCAGGTACACACTACATCTATGACGTTTATAAACGTCGTACAGAAGGAAAGAGTCACGAAGAGTTACGTTAAGAATTAAGAAATCAAATCAACAACAAATTAGTAAAAGATACCAAATACACAAAGATACCAACAAAAAATGTAATAAATAAAAACTTTATTCAAATTATTTTATAGTGATCTTATGTTCCTCAACGCTCTCCTATTACGCAAATAAAATAATCCCCAACGATACACACGAATTTTATTTGCGTATTTTTGTTGCGAATATTATTGCGTAACTTGATTATTCAAAAAAATATAATTTATTATCTGCTTCATACTTTTGACACGAAACTATACACTCCACAAAAGTCACTATATGGATAATAATAATTACACTCTACATGATATTCGTGCGAACATATACAAATGCAGTATTCTCGGTCGACTCGAAACATGTTTGTCCGTATAAACGTTTACTCTATAAATAGCACACACCGTATGTTTTTTCCATGTAAATCGCGTACTATAAATAAAAGTATTTTATATGCAAAATGCACGAGTTGCATGTGACGCGGCAGCAATCGTAGGCGTCTCGTGCGTAAGAGAACTCAAACCTAGCGGATTCGGCGAACGAACGTTTCACGTGGACTTTACAAATGTCGAAAGAAACTAAACGTTTGCGAACTATACGGAAATATTTTCGTAATATATGCGTTGAAATGTCGAAACTCATGGAAAGATATCGACAACCAAAGTCGCGTAGAATTTCCAGTGACTTTTGAGAATTTTAGGTTAAATCGTTCGACATTAAGAAATTCTATCTACCTTACCGACCTAGCGGCTTCTCAACTGTCAATGTTATAGCAGTATTCATGCGATAAACGTTTTAACTTTAGACATTTATATATACATATATGTATATACTAATAGGTTCGCACAGTATTAATTAAATACAAACGTTTATTTTTCCCTACCGCACAGTTACTTTCGGTCCACTGACAACTTATGTTTTTTTATTCTATTTCACTGTCACTTTTCCATTGCACGTCAGTGCAACGGTGCGCTTACTCATGTTAACACGTCAGCGATCGTTCTACTGCTGTTCTTATTGCACAGAAGACAATGCACTTTTTGTACGGTAAAAAACGTAAGAATATCCAGATAACCAAAATCCGCTCCCCTCGGATATCCAAAAATACTAATAGGAAAACATCAGCATTATGTAAAGCATAAGTGATTATTGAACTGGAGGTACGCAGTGTTTATTGTACAACTTTTTTATGATACAGGAATTAAGGTTACCCATATAGACATAAATGGCTCTCCCCAGGTATGTTAAAATATTTTAGCATCACTCGAAGTATTAGAATCATAACGTAATATGTTTATTTAAAAAAAGTTTGACGTTTTTCGTGCGATATTCATAGGTTATGTCCACGTGCATCTTCATTGACATTTTGTACGGTTCTAATGGGTATGTTCAGCAGAAACACTGCTGAGGGAACAAAAACAATTTATTGGTCAAATCTCACAATTTTTGCATGATTTACGATCAAATGACCAATCAAACGAATTTGCTCTCTCAGCGGTGTTTCTGCTGAACATGCCTATTGTGAAACCTTCAGTGTCGCAACAGTGGATCGATACGTAAGACGATCTAAGGATAATTATATCTTGCTGGGTTTTCCTAAAAAATCTATTTTTTTATTCTTAGAATATGTGTAAACCCATTTTAATGCGGATAACAATACGACTTTTCTATAACATTCTGCGACTTGTGTGAGTAAAACCGTATTGAAATTCCCACTATGCAGTTTACACATTTTTATCTAGAACGTCAATCGTCGTCCAACGTAAAACAAGTGCCAGTGCAAAGGCTTGGTAATTAGAAGGAAAATGAGTAAAAATTTTGAGAAATAACAAGTATTTTCCATGAAAAAGTGAAATTATGATAATTATTACTGAACAATGAAATATATACATACTTTAAAGTTAGCTTGTTCTGTGATCAACAAAATTATAAGAAATTTATATCTGCAAAATAACTCGACACTGTTACACACGTAAAACATACATTGTATCTAAAGTATGTGTTACATGTGAAATCGTATTAATAATATTATTAAAAATCAGTGATCAATGACGTTCAATTCGTATTAAAGTGTTAATTGAGCAATGGTGGATTATCGGAAGCAATTGTTGCCCGGCAATTCCAGAAGACGTAAGCGTGGTATAAAATTAGGCAAAAGTGTAAGAAAATAAAAAAAAAAGAGAAGTAGACGAGAAGTATAAAAGATGAAAAAGATTAAATCTTAATGCATTATCCCTGTAGTTTAACGTGACGAGCGTAAGAATTATTTGTGTCACATGTTCACGCAACAAATACTTCAAAACAATATAGTAGTCGTTGTTGTTGTCGTGCGCGAATTATTTTTCTGTTCTAGCGAAAGCGGGAAATTACCGTTTATCTTTGTATTGAGTCCTACGAATACCTACGGGTCCGACTCACGGGTAACAGGTTGGCTGCAATCAGTTGTATGAAGAACCTACGTCACTTGATGACGTTCGTGCTGTCACCTCCACTCTGGCAAATCCCGGGAACATCATAAAACCCATAAAGGAGATCCAGTTCGAAAATGATCCCGTTTACGGGGAAGATAAGAGCAATATGAAATTTATATTTTTAATTGTTAATTATAAACAAAAATTTTTTAAAACAAGCTCATTCACAAGACATGAAAACAGACGCGAGGTGAAGTTTAATGAACTTGAACAATGATTCACTGATATTATCTTATAATTGCGTATGATTAAAATTGACTGGTCGTTATAACGCATTGTACCTTAAAATTTTCGTAGTCAAATTTCAAAAAAAAAAAATTTATCCCAACTAATTTCTCTTCTGACCTTAATTCCTGCATACGTAAAACACACTTATCACTGATTGTGAGTGTCAACCATTACCGTAATATCGGATGCGGAAAATGTTATAATATCATGAATACCTAATGCGGTCATATTGCAGTTTACGATTGACTAATTGAACAAGCGTTTACTGGCATTCGAAATACGTAAGATATCCATGAAATTCGATATTTCGTATAGGGGTTTTCGAATTTAGGGAATGACGCGATTAACTTTCCTTATACAGGGTGGAACACTTGACTCTCACTTCGGGACACCATCGGCCTTTCGACGAATATGAAAAGAAATGTTTGAAACAACAGTTTTTTGGTTTCTAGGGGCAAGTGAGATGGCCTGTTAGGTTTTGACCTTTGAACGATCTTTGAACGAGGTCATACGAAGGTCAAGTTAATTTTTTTTTCTCCAAATAACAACCCATATCTTGTACCACGTATTTTTGGAGCTGCCGTCGATATGTTTTCAGAACACTAGTCACAAATTATTTTATTTAATCAAATTTCGAAAGATAACGCATACGTATCGTTATACACAGTATCTCTCGATCGCTATGTATGCATACGTACGGGCTTCCGTGTGTGTATTATTATCTGTCAAAATGTACTAATGGCAACGAGAAATTTAAAATAATAAATCTGACAGATAGTTAACAAGTCTCCCTTATCAGGATGTATTATTGTATGATCATCCAAAAAAATATGATGAATTTTTTTTTACTTAATTTCAGATTTTTGCCTTAAAATCGATTTTGAAATGCATTACGGTATTATATTATTGTTATTATTATTATGCATGTACCACAATGTAAGATTGCATACGCTTAATGTTATGTAATATAGGTAAAATATATAATGTAAAAATAGAAACTGATTTGCGGCCAACTTTTGCTAGTGCATTTTCCGTGAACAACCCGATATATTGAGAGGTCAAAAATATAGGAAAATATATTTGGATATACA